CCGCCTTCCAGCGCGCGTGGGCCGTGGCCAGCGGGGGCTGGTGCGCCGCGGGGAAGGGCGCGTCCAGCAGCTGCACGGCCCAGCCCCGGAGCGCAGTCTGCAGGAAGAGGCCGGTGCCCACGGGCCGGGCCAGGGGCGCCGAGAGGTTGAAGAGGTCGCGGGCGCGCAGCAGCACCACGGCATCCCCGTCCAGGGCATCGCAGTGGGGCGCGGCGGGTGCCGGGCCGTAGCGGGCCGTCCACTCCCGCAGGCTGACGTTCAGGGCCAGGCACCGGGCAGGGTTGGCCGAGGCGACCGGGGCGGCCACCAGGCGTGCGCCTCCCGCCCGGAGCACCTCCACCATGCGCTCCAGCTGGCCCCGAGCCTCGGCCCTCGCGCCGTCGGGCACCAGCGCCACGAACTCGGTGGCCACGTAGGTCTCGGGGCGCGAGGCCGCGGCCGGCCGGTCCAGGGCGGGCTGGAGCAGCGCCAGGCGAACATTGGGGATGCGGGGCAGGGCCAGGGGCGGATAGGGGAGGGTGTCGGCGGCCACCACCACCGGCTGGGCTGGGTCCTGCTGCAGAAAGGAGTCCACCAGCTCGGGCACCGCGTTGTCGAAGGCCTCGAACTCCCGCACCAGGACGGTGACGCGGGGGCCGGCGGCAGATCCACGGCGGGGGCCCCGGGCCCGGGAGCTCCTGGGCTGGTGCTGCAGCCACGAGACGTAGAACAGGACCAGGAGGTTGAGGGTGATGGCGGCTGCCAGGGCAGCCTGGCAGCGCGTGAGCCGCATGGGGCCGAAGTCAGGCCCTAGCTGGACCTCCAGGGTATCCTGGGGAGGGGGGAATGAAAGGGGAGGTTGGAGCTGGTTGCATCCTCAGCCTTGCCTTTCTCTCCCAGCCCTTTCCCTATTTGGTTTCAGCTCAGACCTCCCCTCCTCCAGGAAGCCCTCCCTGATCTCCCAGGTGGGGTCATGCACCGGCTCTGGGCTCCTTTAACCCTCTGGGTTCCCCCTGCTTGGCCCAACCACTCTAAGTCATTACTGAGTAGGGACCAGTCTGTGTCCTCACACTGGATTGTGAGACCCATGAGGGCAAGTCCTGAGCCTGTCTTGGTCACTGCTGGGTCCCCAATGGCACCCAGCACAGAGCCAGGGACACACTAAGTGTTCAGTAAGTTTTAATCAAATGAACCACCTTCCCTTCTTCCTTGTAGAGTCCCGCCCTTCTATTCACTGTCAACTTATGCAGATGCCGGGTCAGTTATAAACGCCCTGGACCCCATCCCCAAGCCCAATTTCCACCCTTTTCTCTTCCATTCTCTGCCCCAGGGAGCCACCCCTGATCTCTCCTTCCTTCCCTCCCACCCTGGCCCCGCTCCAGGGTGAGCCTGATGCTGCAGCCTCCCGCCTCGGCTCCCAAGCCCCTCCCGCACCGCCCCTCTCACTTCCTCAAATCCCGTGCCAGCTGGTCATCTCTTTCCTGACGGTCAGCCAAATCACTCTGGTTTTGCAAGAAAAGCCAGAAATGTTTTCTCACATCAGAATTATCCCAACTCTTAATGTTGGCCACTAATTAATTTTTTTTAATGGAATGGGTCAAATTCATAGCAACAGAAAGTAGAAAGGTGGTTGCCAGGGCTGTGGGGAGAGAGAAATGGGGAGTTTAATAGGTACAGAGTTCCAGTTTTGCAAGATGAAAAAGTCCTGGAGATTGGTTGCACAATAACGTGAATATACTTAACGCTACTGAACTATATACTTAAAAACTGTTAGGATGATAAATTTTATTATTGTGTATTTTAGCACAATTAAAAAAAATTTTTTTCAGTGGAGTGGCTGAATCAAGAGAGGCTGCCCGCCATAGGACACGCCCCTATTCATTGGCCACACTCCTAAGCAACCCCCAGGTGGCGCTGTCTCCCTGTCCCCATCAGGACGGGAAGATTTGGCTGGTCTCCAGCACGGGAAGTGTAATTAACTCTCTCTGGGTTCTGAGCAGATACTCAAAAAGTTTCCCCACGAGGGATTCTCATAGGTTTCTATCCCAACGGGGAGGGGAGCATCAGAGCCCCAGCTAATCTTCCTACCTCCTAAATACTTCTGACCCCTCCTCCCCATTCCCACAGCTCCCCTCCCTCAGCCTGGGTCCACCCACAGCCCCACTCAGCCTCCTCCTGCTCTCCTGACCAAGTCCCCTCCTCATGGCAGCCAGAGGAGTCTTCATAAAGCACAAATCTGACCTCTCCTCCCTGCTCAGAACCTGCCATGGCTCCCCAGTGCCCTGGGGAGAAACTTTAAGTATCTTACAACATCCCACAAGGCCTTGTGTGACCTGGCCCTGACCCCCCCATCATCCCAGCCCCATCTCCTGCCATGGCTCCTCAAACTCTATGCCTAAGCCACCTTGGACTTCTCCTCCAACACGTCTTATTTCTAAGCCTTTGTACATTTTGTTCCTTCTGCCTAGCAGAGTCTCCTCTTGAACATCCCTTCTCCCCATTCCTCTTTTCTCCTGGAAAGCTCCTACTCATGCTTCAGGCTTCAGCTCAGATGGCCCCTCCTCCAGGAAGTCCTCCCTGAACCCCTGGCTGGGTCAGAAGTCCCCTCTGGGCTCTCGCAGCCCCTGGGGTCCCCCCGTTCCAGGCCTGCCTATTCTGGTTCAGCACCATCTGGGGATGGGTCTGTCTGCTCCACTAGACTGTGAGACCTGGGAGGGTACAGCCAGGGCCATTCGATCACCGCTGTGTTCCTAGCACACGGCTGGGCACTGAAAATGCACTTGGCAAAAAACTGATGGCGAGGGTCAGGGTTTCTGTGTGTCTGTGAAGCCCACTCAGGTCCCCGGAGCCACACTCCACACTGTGGCCATGGGCCTGGGGCCCTGCCCTGGCCTTCCTGCCTCCTCTCTCTCCCACCCCTCTTCACCCATCCCAGTCCCGCATGCCCTTCTCTGCCCCAGCTCGGCTGGTACTTAAGAACCTGAGTTGTAGGGGCCGGCCCCGTGGCTTAGCGGTTAAGTGCGCGTGCTCCGCTGCTGGCGGCCCGGGTTCGGATCCCGGGCGCGCACCGACGCACCGCTTCTCCGGCCATGCTGAGGCGGCGTCCCATATAAAGTGGAGGAAGACGGGCACGGATGTTAGCCCAGGGCCAGTCTTCCTCAGCAAAAAGAGGAGGATTGGCAGATGTTAGCTCAGGGCTGATGTTACACACACACACACAAGAATCTGAGTTGCACCTTGAGAGTGACTTCTTAATCCTCAGAACCTTGGAATTGCCTTCTGGCCCTTAGCCTGATCCCTCCTTCCTTCCGTCCTCCAATGTCTATTTGTGGAGCTACTACAGCACGCCAGCACTGTTCTAGGCCCTGGGGACACGGCGGTGGACACACAACACACAGAGACAGACAACACCCCTGACCTCACGGAACTCACATTATTACGGGGGAGGGGCCTTTGGAACCACAGAGTCTTCGAGGTCTTAAAAACCTCAGAATCTCAGAGCTTAGGTACACAGAAGCACAGAAGAGGGCCTTAGATAGTTTTAGAATTTTCTAAAGATTCTAAAGTGACCATCTTCTTGCTCTACTCTCATCCCCTATAACCTGTTCCCCACTCAGCACCAGAGGGATCTGGTTAAAACTCGAATTAGATCTTGTTCTGCATCTGCTCAAATCCTTTTGTGGCTCACAACTCACTCCGAGGAAAAGCCAAAGTCTTCACGGTGGCCCATAAAGCCCCGCATGATCCCCCGTCTTCTCTCACTCGTTCACTCAGCTCCAGCCACACACACCGGCCACCAAACGCATAATTTGTGTGGAATGAAGGAGGGACTCCCGTTCCTCAGATGGGGAAGCTGTGGCTCAGAGGCAGAAAGGAGGCAGGTGGCAGAAGCCGGGTCTCCACTTCCAGGCCCTGGCTCCTGCTGTGCTCTGTCTGGCTGACTCCGGGCCAGGAGGTGCCCAGCAGGACAAAGGACAGAAACCAGGTCCTTGGAGAGCAGCGGGTATGAGAGCCAGATGAGGAGGGGAGCGGACCAGAGAAGAGAGAGCAAGGAATCATCTAGTACCCCGACAAGGTCCGTCTCAGCTTCCCCAACTGTAAGGGCTCAAAACCCCTTCACTGGGGCAAAGTGGATGAAACGATGATTTTGAAGGTCCGAACGTTCGACATCTTTCTGAATCATGATAGGATGATAACAATATCAACAATTCTAGCCACTCATGACATGCCAGACTCAGTTCTAAGCACTTTATGCTATTAACTTGTTTCATCTTCATGTTACGATCACATTTAAAGATGAGGAAACTGAGGCACAGAGAGGTGAAGTCACTTGCTCAGGGTCACACAGCTGGGAAGAAGACCCAAGAAGCTGCTTCCAGAGTGGTGCTTTCAACCAATGAACTGCTGTCTCTCTTGGGTCCACTCAGACGGTCCAATTCTCGGTCCATCTTCAGTGAGCTTTCCCCCGCCCTAACCGGACAGGGGCTTTCAAAGCTGAAGATAGCACATTAAATAATTCATTCAACTCATTCACTCAACAAACAGATGTTTATTGAGTGCCCTCTGAGCCAGACCCTGTGATGAAGGAGGCAGTCATGGGGCAGGCCCTCCAGGGGTAGGAAGACAGACAGAACCACACAAACAACTTACAGATAGGGCAGGAAACCAGCAGGGGGCGTGACAGAGAAAAGGTGGTAAGTTAAGGACGGTTAAGCTATGTCTCTCCACTCCCCCCAAAACAATCTAAGTGGATCCAGATTCACTTCAGGCCTGGGTTCACCTGGCCTGAGCCTCAGTTATTGCATCTGTAGAATGGGTATGTGATGGGCAGAGAAAATAAGCGACATGTGGGAAAGCCTTTGGGGACAAGGAAAGGGCAGTTTCCATGTGACTGCTGGTGACACTGGGGGACTTCTTACCTCCTAGGTTGCAGGCTGGGGGAGCTCCAGGCAGGTGGTTCCAGCCCAGCTCAGCTGCACTGCTGAGGGAAGGAGAACCAGAAAACCTCAAATCAGCCAATTTCGCACAATAGAGCACAATTTCATCTTATCTACAAAAGTGGCAGTGAGAAGGTCAGGGAATCATTTCTTTTGAAGTCGCACAAGCTCGGGCACCACCTGGAGCATCTTAGGAGTGGGAGGGAAGGATGTTAGTTATCATAGCAACCTCTAAGCATCCCTCTCATGAATGTGTCCAGAAAGGTAGGACTGGAAGTGACAGAAGGTGTTACCATGACAACTCCTCCCCTAGACACACTCCATGCTGAGAGACAATCATAAAACATCCCGTACCTTAGTGGGCCTGGTTCCAAGGGTCACAGGAAGGGGGACTGCCCCCGTTACCATAGTAACCAGGGCTTGGCTTTGCCTGCTTCTCACGTCTCTGGGGATGGGCCAGGCTCTGTAACCATAGCAACTACTGCTCAGCAGAGCATCTTCTCTAAATAAAAACACCTGTTGGGTTTGGTCCATGGACCTCCCACGATGGGGAAGGGGGGAGATGGTTACCATGGTAATGCCAACTGAGTAGCTGGGGGGAGGGGTTAGGAAAGAAGTGTTTCCCTCAGCCATCAGTGTCCTTGGGGCTGGGGCCCTTTATACCTGAATGCTAGGTGAGGTTGTCATAGTAACCAATGAGGGTAGGGAAAGGACCACAAGGGACTTAGGTTACCTTAGCAACCTCCTCCTGGTGCAGGTACAGGAAAGGTTTGGGACTCCATAACCACAAAAGTGGAGGGGAAGGGAGGGGAGGCTGGGGTGTTCCAGGCTGGGGAAAGGTTACCTTGACAACCGCCCCTGGCCAGGAATGAGAGAGGATGGTGGTCGCCCTTTCTCTCAAAGAGTGACAGACATTGACTGTCGACGAGAGTGGGATTTGGGTCTGGAGAGGGTTTGAATCTTTCTTTGGGGTGAAGAAGGAGGAGGGGGGCACATAGCGGCCCCTCCCCTAGTCCCGCTCTTCCCAGGGGCGACCCCCGCGCGGCGCCTGGGTCGCGTTTGCCCCCCTCGGGGCGCGCGCCCCCTTCCCGCCCC